TTGCCTAAGGCTGAACATCAGATATCGCTGCAAACCCCCGTACGTCCGTGCATACATATGTCGCGGAGACTTTGAATTTCCTCGTCTCGCTACTCGCTCATAGTGGTATACGCTATACAATCAATGTCTAAAGTGATGAGCCGGAAATGTAATCGAAGCACGTTACTTTTTCAAACAATCAGTGAAAATGCACACAGATGTGTCGAATCGCATTTGGACATCCCACAACACTGATCTCACTGCTTGCTGTTCTGGAAACGCGTACCAGGAACTGCGACGTCCATTCCATTTGCGTCATGAGGTTCTGGGGATCCTCGGTCAGAAGTTCATGGTACTGCATTCGCATTTCATTCTTCACTCGGTCCTCCATCACATGCCAAACATTTTCGATGGGATTGAGGAACGTGGAGTATGGGCTCAATCTCAGAATGATGACTCCTTCGTATCCTCCGACTGATGCAAGTGCTTCCAAACATGTGTGATATGCTGCATTGTCACAGACTACGACCACCTGCCGGAGCTCCACTTCCCACTTCAGCTTGTCTAAAATGCCTCCCAGCCATCCGAGAGATACGGGCCAGTAAATGACCCTGTCCCTGTAGTCATCGAAACGTTTCCATCCATTATGAGTGCAACGATGAGATGCGAATTCAGGCCTCTACTTTTTGCTACTTTGACACAGGAACTCACTCCACTGGGCACCCGACCACGAGTGCGTTTGTAGTAAACATTGAAGTTTGTTTCGTCGATCCATATGAAGCACTTCCTCTCACTTTCAAATTCGAGAAAGTTTTGGACAAATTACTTTCGTATCTCTTTGATTCACTCATTGTTCATTCCGTCTGGAATCTGATGGGTGTTCTTCATGGTTATCAAACGGCCATCCAGGTGTCGTGCAATTATAGACATTGAAATGTTCTTATCCATTTTGACAGGTACTTGGACTCGCATTTCGTGTAGTGTTAGAGTTGCGTCTTTCGGGATCCACTCCAGGAGGTCATTAACCTCTTTCTCCAACAGAATGCGCTTACGACCGCGCGCCTGCTTGGTATCCGGCTTCTGATCAAGAGAGCGACGAGTCCAGAATTGGGCAGTTTGAAATTTCACATTGTTCGCGGTTGCCACGAGCTGTCATTTGTCCCCGTTGACGAAGGCATCCACAACTGGGTCACGAATGTCTGAGGAGATAATCTGTGGAACACGAGAGGGCATTTGGACCACGCTGGAATGAAAGCCATCCATTCAGTCGTGTGCTTATTTTCCGGCCGTTCATTGCTCACACACCAATTGTGATTCAGCTTTTCTGACGTGAGGGGGGGGGGCGCATGGTATCTCGTGGCACCTCCTATGTCCACGGACGCGAGGTTCATTCACAAGTCTCATCTAGTTAATGGTTAGCACGCTCACTTCACTTGGCTTACGCATCCAACTCTATCACGGCCGATGAGAACACACTTGAGGTCAGATAATTGGCTTAGAGAGGCTGGCACATCGAACATTCTTTTGTGGAATGTTGCACTTTCTGCAAAATGTTGGACTTTTGTGCCTCTTCGCGAAAATTTCCATGGTATGTTTAGGTTCAGGTTATCCTGAAGGTGGCCCAACCCTTGGATCGTGTTTATCGCCTGATGTTTTGGGTTGTCTAGTGTAGCGTGGTTTTCTCCCCGGTTATACTAGAGTAGCATTGCGTAGTTGCCTTGGGGGGAAACGAAATTGACGGACAAAATGAGGAAGAGGTATGGCTCAGAGCGTCCGTGTATTCTCCACAAACATATTCACAAGCTCTTTAATAGCGGAAACCGATCTGTACGAGAACACCCAGATATCTCTTCTGGGTTTTGCCTGCATGTTGCAAATAGATTGGAAGTTAGTGTCTCTGCACTAGGGCGTATAACTTGTGCGCACGGAATTTTTGGTGTGATTCCTTGTGCATTTCTCGCAGCTGCTCCTAAGTCAGAAAACTCCAACCCAGCCGAATAACAATAGATGACCGATCCATCAGTAGCGACCACCCGTCGGCTGCTCCAGGAGTCGAACCCATGAACTCATGACGTCAGTGACTAACTCTAAACGAGGAGTCGTAGTTGTAGCGCTGAGGAATAGGCTCTAATAACAAATTATATAGGGTTAAACGGTCGTCGATTGTTTTTCGGGAGTACGGCAGACAGACTAATATGAAAGCTTCTGTAGTGGACGCTTTATAAACGGGAGTTTGTTCTCAACCGACAGTTAGGAAACATCGTGAAGGATTTGTTTGACTACTTCGTGGTCACCTTATATTTTTCATTCGCTTTTTGCCAACCAGCGTCCCTGTTTAGCCGAATGCACCACAGAATCCTCACCAAATTTTTTGAAGATCGGAAGACTTTTCGTCCACTAAACAATCGTAGTCATGCTTAAGGGAGGGCTCACAATTAGAGGGCGTACGCGTGGGTCGTAAGAGACTGTTCCTACAACAGAATCAAAGCTCCTTTCAGTAGAAATGCATAGAACCAGAATTCACTTCTTTTTTCGATCGAGGTTCTCAGGGTTTTAAGCACCGTTTCAAACTCAAGCAATTTATGTGCAAAACAATATGAAAACCGAAGTTTTGTTTTGTCCAGATTTGCCGCAACAATTCAAATTTTGGTATAATCTCTTTGCGCTATTAAAATTAGATGAAAGCTTTAACTTGGACTCCTAGCTGCTCTGATGTAAACTTAGTCCTTCTAAACACTACAACCGTTTGTGAAGTTGACAACTAGATTCCAACTCTGTACTCCATGATTCGCTTCGCCCATGCTTTGGGTGGAGTTGGCCGTAAGTGGTCTCGGGATTGAGGTATCAGTAGTTAGGCACCTATTCTGGTGGACGGGGAGTTTTACAGCGGTTTTGGATTTACTTTTATGCATTAATGTACCCGTTGTGTGTCAAGAGCTGTTTTCCCTGTGTTTGCAACGGACTAGTCCGGAGTAATTCTATGTACCTGACAATCGATGAGCCTAAATACATTGGTACCTGTTAAGCATCCTTGCTAATCTTCTTCAACGATTCTGCGGATATGGCTAAAGTAGTTGTGCCCCTGGGATTCCGATTCCATCCGCAACAAAATCGTACGAAGAATGGACGTCGACACCAAATATCCAGAAGCATTGGGAGCAACAGCAAGCCAACTGGCAGGACACTTAGCTCAGTTTTTCCAGCACTGCTTAGATCAGAACCAAGTTCCCGCCATGGGGAAGCTTGGAACAATACCCCCGATTCACATAGGTGGAAGCAGAACTGATCCCTCCAACTACCACCCAGTAGCCCTTCTTCCTATACTCTCCCAGGTCATGGAATCCATAGTTGCCGATGCACTGGTGTGTTAGCTGGAAAACTAAAACCCCATCACTCCTGAACAGCACGGTTTTCGTCGACAGTGGTCACGTACAAATAATTTACTAATTGCACTCAGTAGTTGGACCTAGGCAGCTGACGCTGGAGAAGGTGTTGATGTGATCTACCTGGATTTTTCCAAGGCTTTCGATCGTCCAGACCATCGAATACTATTATCCAAGCTGCAGCATCACGGGATCGGAGACCCTCATTTAAGCTAGATCGCCAACTTACTACTTCAACGGCAATTAGTGGTCAGAGTTCGGAGCTCTTTATCGGACCCCATACAAGTTGAGTGTGGTGTGCCGCAAAGCTCAGTTCTGGGTCCACATTTGTTTTTGGTGTTCATTAATGATCTTGCACAGGGAATCACATCCACAATAAAACCAATTATCCCTCATAACTCCATAACATTCTCATGTACTTCCTGCGTAAAACTTCTACCCCAACATTATCAACATATTTATTACGAATTCCCTAGAATATCACATTACTACCCCCCCCACTAAATTCAAAACAACTATCCCCTTACAAATGAACTATAAACCCCAACCTACAACAGCATCTATCCGTTTCCTAACCTACGCCCAAACACTCTCTTCATTGTAAAAGAACATCCCCCCCACTCCACCCAGGTACCGATTCAATTAAATTACCTATGTATACACCTAATGCTATTTTTTTCACCTGTCCCCCCCCCCCCAATTCCCCCTTACCTCCTCCCTTTCGCCCCAAGACTATTTTATAATCTTTCTTCTATTTTCCACGACACAGACCTTACCATCAGAAACTCCCCGAAGTGAGACATACTTATTTCTAGAATAATCGCCCCCATACATACACCATCAAAACAATCTGGCGCTCATATTGTTGAAACACACCGACCATACTCATTGTACATTCTCACCCAATCCGGGTCCAACAACTCGCAGCCTTAATTGTAGCTGCAGCCATTTTCGAACCGGAGAGGTCTACGACGACTGAGATTGTTCAGTGGATCCGCTATCTAGCCTCACTATTCACGCTTTAAATGGCATCAGATTCTGCCCGAGTACCACCTATATGTGTGCGCCCCTTTACTTGCACAACACGCAGCAATGCAAACCTGATGGAGGCCCACACATTTTAAAAACTCGGCTCAGACCAATACAGTCTTCTGTCAAGCATCGAGCTCGAGAAATCAATATTCCAATCTTTTCAGTTCACATATAACAGCACTCCCGTACACGGAACTTCACTTTAAAATTACACACACATACATAAAACAAGTGCCTTGTATGTGTTCTCTATACTCCACCACTAACCCTAAAAGAACCATTCACAACTTCTCCTCCTTACACCATTCTATAGAATCAACTCAGTACATACAATAGATCCATAATTGATCTGGTTCCCCAACCATGCTTATCTGGCTGTCCATCATCTCACAAAGCTCAAATTCCTTATTATTAAACATTACATTACTACAACTCACATTACCTCACCAATAGCCGATCTCCTTAATAAGATAATGAATTATTACATCTCCCCATCTCCTATACACACACAGTCCAATTAAACATCCACCCTAAGCTGACCCCCCATTACACCCAACCAATAAACAATAACCCTAACACCCCAATTCTCAACCCCCCTATTTCTTCATGTATACCCCCCGCCACCTCTACACCCGTCTAACCCCATTCACCCCTAAACCTATTAATCCCCCCCCCTCCCCCCCCTCTCCTACCACCTATCCACTATCATTTACCTCCTATGATACCACATTCATCCTCAAACAAGATTCACCACCTCATCAATCATACCCCCCAATCTACCAAAAGCCCCCCATCTACCCCCTGTCAATATCCGTACATCCTCCCCCCCCCATCAAGCCCCTCTCCACCCCCCTCACCCCCTTCTAACCCCACACCAAATTTATCTAATTCCCCTACCAATTTCATATTCCATTTTATCACCCCCCCCCCCCCCCCCTTTGACTAAACTTCCCCTAACAAAGATTCCCTCTGAATTAGCCACCTTCCCCTTCAATTCAAACACAAAACTTCTAAACATACAACCTAATATCATCCCCTCTATAAACCCCTATATAAACCCTTCCACTCAATTCTACCCACCCTACCCATGCAAGCACCCCTTCATCTCCACACCCCACTAATTTATAAAAATTCACAATAGCCACCAGCAACCCATCAACATCTTAACAACATACATAGCTTAATAATCCAAGATTTGTCAACTAACCACCCCCCCCTCCCCCCCGCACATAATCAGTCCTTTCTCCTCCACTACTCACCGGTCAAACCCCACATAATTCTCTTATTACAATCCACATCGAACCTCAACTCATCTTCCCTTTAAGACCTATATCCCCCACCCACGCATATATACATACCTAATCCATCTCACTAATCTAAACGATTGTCCCTCCATACCACCCCCATTATCCTTGCGTCTTTACCGAAAACTCATATTAGCACCACCCCAACCCCCAAGACCAATTCAATCTTATCTAACACGCATTACTAATACACTCACGCAATAACTTTCTATATATGTAATATGTCTTTTCAATCTAATAATTCTTTATCTGAGGACGCGCACTGAGTATAAGTTTACATTTGAATGAACAACCATAATCGAAGCAAAACCCCCCCCCCACATCCTACCCCCCAACCCCTGTCACAGAGATTCCTACATTGCATATATGTCCTATTACAATAAAATGCAACATATCTATATTATACACAGTACAACAAACCTTTAGCAGCTAAACAACACCTTGTACCCATAGTGTGTAAATAATACAGAGCCTAACATATCTCATGTCAGAAGCTCTCATCCTGAGCGTATCCTCCAACCAATTACGTCCATCTTACCTTGAGGGTAGGTATTCAGCAAAGGTCCGGGGACTTAACCCCACCCCCCCCTATGTTTCCCCTCACATCCACCTTCAATTTCCAAGTAATTTAACAGATATGTAATGCCCAATCCTAGCACAATTCAACAACACCATATAATTGTAAACCCTCCTTTAACCAAAAAAAAAATCCCCCATACACCACAAAAACGTAGCAAATTACCCAATCAGATTTACAAATACACAATACCCCTGTAACCCTGCTCCTCATTATCCTTACCATTGTCCTTTCAACCCTACCCCTAAGCCACGATACTCCATTCCATAATTCCTGTTGTAATACTTATGCCCAAAAGTCTAACCTTCCCCCATTTATTCCTACCGCACTGTAAGAATCAATTCCTGGCCCTCCACAATATCAGAGTATCATCACATCCATGCCTACACCTGAATGCATACATCGCGCAATTGGACGATCCACATGTTCCCAACACCTTAGTGGAGTGTGTATGTCTCTCCGACATTCATGATAAGTAGCTGAGCCACTATTGGGGCATATAGAACGACCCTATATCGCATTCAGTGAAGTGAAAAACCACTGAATGTTTCAGGGGTTTGCGCTGACGTGTGATGGTTAAGCTCAAATGTGTGGAATTCAGCTTAAATCATTTATCTCCCTCCACCTACTTCGTCTTGAATTCGAAGTAACGTGGGTCAAACATCTGTACAAAGCACTCGAAAGTATGATAGTTTCTTTTAAGCTGTCTGGTATTTCTGGGACGTTTCACTAGCATGTCATGTTATAGAAATCCCAGCGGACGCGAATCCGCGGCCTTCAACTTGTGTGTCGACTGTGGATACCACCGAGCGCTGGGGAACGATGTTGGAATTGGGGGAATAAATAGACTATCTTGTGCTACATCCGCCCCGATTTCTTTCACTCAGCTGATCTGTTCAGCTATTGTTTTCCGGCCGTCGCCATTGTAGACTCGCAAGATGCGAATGCAATAACGGGCTGTCAGTCTTGATGACGGTGTATGGCCAACTAACACCCATTGCCACCACCACTGTGAGGCACATTGTCCCCCCACAAAACTTGCTTGTCTGCTCTGATTTGATTGGCACTCGAGCAAACCAAGTGATGACGTCTCCCAACAGTAGGCTCACAGCAGTCTGCAAGTTGGCGTAATCACGTGAATGGGGAGAACATAACGCTCACGTGTGGGTTGGCCTCGGTGACCGTGTAAATTGCGACACTATCTCGGCAGCCTGTGAGAAAGTTCGTCCTCAAATGTCACACAGTATGTGTGTGTGTGCAGTTTGGATAACTACGGTTCCGGACTTGGTGTGAAACAGAAGAGTTCAGTGGATGGACGCATTTAACCTATGCCTCACCCACCTGTACTGAGCAAGAGGATTTGTAGAAGCAACCGGATGGTCCACAGTGAAGGCGACGGTAGCTAAGTGCGCAGCTGGCGTGTCTGAACAAACAAAACTATGGTTGTATTTGCAAAACTGCACGAGAACTAAAAGCCAGCCCGCAGTGCTGTTAGACCAGACTGTCGGAATGAACGATTGTGACTTGAAGCCCCAGGTCACGTGAGAAAAGGGGAAACGGTGGTCAGCGTGGACTATTGTTCACGACATTTCAGTTGCAAAACGGAGCACGATGACCACTATGGCCCTGTAATCTACCTAAGTTGACTAATTTAATGGAAATTTAGACAGCCACCTGAGTGGGTGTGACGTTGGTAAGGAACCTTTCAGCAACAATTTGAAATCCACGATGTGTATGACACAGCGGGGGGCAGAAATGAACCAGTTGCGAACGGGATGAACAGATCACAAAATCACAGTGTATGAGCTAACGCAAGGTAAGGAAATGTTACAAAATTAAAGACAACCTGTGGCCTACTACCACATATTAAGCGATTGGTAAGATGCTTGGTGTGGCCTAAGTACCAGCAACCCTGGTACAAATAGGATTTGATGGAGAACTATGTAGATAAGTAAATGGACGAAATCAGACGTGCGGTTGAGTGGTGCCGCCATGCCTCGGGAGCTGAGAGTCTGCGGAAATCCACTAACTCGGCAGATGAAAGTGATTTCAACCGCCCTTTGTGCAACCTCAGGGATTAGGCCAACTCGCCCTCTTGTACATTGTCTGTAGCTCACCGTCGTATATTACTTTAGGAGCGGCGCCAGTACCTGAAACTTTGTCGCAATACCGGTCTGAGAGGCAACCCACTGAAGCCGGTCTAGTAGTAAATCTGGTTGCTATGTCCCCGGGATCCTTCAACTAGTGTATGCCGTGGAATACCCTGCCAAATTGCTGTATTTCTCTCCCCACGGATTTAAGTCCATGTTCTACTGAACTCATTTGAACAGTGGAACAGTGGAACACTGGTTTACTGCGGGTAAAGAAACACATGCTTAATAAGTCCCGTAGGTTGGTCAGTGAGGGTGTTGCAAATTTGAATACTACAATGTATGTCAAATAAATTGCCAATCGGTGAACTGATGGGTAAACCAGGGTTGTGGAAATGAGCTATAACCATGCAGAACGGAATAACAAGTTCTAATGACCAGTGCCTCTATATTGTAGAACAATCGTATTGCGCACCCGGTTGTGGTAACAGTGCGGATTATAATTCCGGAGAGGCTCATCAACCGGAACGCATCTGAGGGCTTTCGTCCGTGCAACAAGTTGTAAGTGGCTGAATCTTGTGTCTAATAAATTTAGTGGGGGCACAAAAGCTAGGCTTGCAAGGGCGTTCCATGGTTGGCGAGTGTACTGACACTGGCTTTCGCTTGTTGCAATTCCCAGTTCTGAGCCATCGCTCTCATCTTGACAATCTTATGGATATGGGTAGACACCCGATTTAATATCTCGGAATATGTTTGGAACTGATCGGGAAGTCATCAATTCAGGATGCTTGGCTCACGACCGCTTAATGCCAGCTCTTCATCCTAGGCAGAGTATTGTTCCGGTGTACCATCGTGTCTTTCTCCTGATTGCATCTTCAGCCAGAGCGCTCGTAACTGCGTTACCGCACTTCGAGTTGCTTTGCACTCGTTGTCATACACACTCAAAACTTTCACAGACATGCTGGTTATTTTGTCTTTTTGTCAAATCGGTCATAAGAACAAAGCAACAGTGGCAAAATTGAGACCCAGTGTCCCACTTCTGTCCCGTTAGCTGTTCCACAATGCTGAGCATGTTGTACATTGCGTTATGAGCCCACTGTGAGCCGCTGTAGCTCTGAGTAAGTGGTGGGAAATGGTTCTTTATACTGCGTCTCAAAAAGAGCGCCGAGTTTCACCAGGTTTATGCAATCGGAATCCACTGGTATCTACATAAGAAGCATTAACATGTTCCGATTTGGCAAAATGGTCATTGTAGTCAGACGCAAAAAATAATTTCTCTGAAGAACGGGATCAACACTTACAACCAACCGCTTTTGCATTTGTCAGCTACAGTATTGGCCAAATTATTAGAAATCTGTTTCAATCAGCAAATTTTTTCCTATTTCATCACATATCTCGTAAGAATCAAATGCTGTAACTGTAAAATGGTTATATTTAACAAGGATAACATATATAGAATGGCAAATCATCAAGGTTTGTATTTCGCAAATGATACTTTTGCAATTTTCAAGGAGTTAACACGCAAAGGCATAGTATGTGAGATTTCTTTTATAAATGATGACAAATTGGTTGATGTGACGTGTACAGTAGTTATCTAATCGGACGGTTACCTTTTTATCATACTTCGTTATTTACAGTTATAGTCTACATTTCAGGATTACATTTGTCTTGTTTTGGATAAATTTATAGGCATGTTTCATTACTTTTATTGCTATTTTTCAGGATGTCGTCTCAAATAACGACACAACCGTATTGATCGGCAGTTTTTAAATGGTGTTGGCATATTATGGGTAAATTACATGACCTAACCCCTCGAAACGGTGCACAAATTGAAATTTTGTTGAAAGATGTTAAAGGAGCAGAAATTGCAACCAAGATTGGTGTCGGCGCAGCGTC